TTATTATTATTATTATTATTATTATTATTATTATTATTATTATTATTATTGTTATTATGAAAGTATTTATTTTATGGATCAATAATGAGGTCTTGTCAATTTAATTTAATTTATGAAAATGTTTCAATAATATTAATTTCAAGCTTGAAAACATGGAAATTTAATTTAAAAATATTTTTTGTTTGTAAGAGTGAATTTAAGACTCCTAAAAAAATTCTAGGAGTTCTAGTAAATTTCTAAAATTTTTCTAGAAGTCCTAGAAATTGTCTAGGAGTTCTAGAAAATTTTTGAATACTCCTAAGAATTTTCTAAGACACTTTTAATTTTTTTTTGACTCCTAGGGAGTTTCTAGGAGTCATAGAAAAAATTTTACGACTCCTAGAAAGTTACTAGGACTTTTGTGAAAGATTCTATGACTTCTAGAAAGTTTCTAGGACTCCTAAAATTTTTCTAGTAGTCCTAGGGAGTTTCTAGAAGTCATAGAACAATTTTTAAGACTCCTAGAAAGTTTCTAGGACTCGTAAAAAAGTTTCTGTGACTTCTAGAAAGTTTCTAAGGTTCTTAAAATTTTTTTATGACTTCTAGAAAGTTTCTAGGTGTCATATAAAATTTTCTATGAGTCCTAGAAAGTATCTATGACTCCTAGAAAAATTCTAGGACTCTTAAAAATTTTTTTATGACTCCTAGAAAGTTTCTAGGATTCCTAAAAATTTTTTTACAACTCCTAAGCAAATTCTAGGAGTCATATAAAAGTTTCTATGAGTCCTAGAAAGTATCTATGACTTCTAGAAAGTTTCTAGGACTCCTAAAAAATTTTCTATGACTTCTAGACTGTTTTTTGGAGTCATATAAAAGTCTCTATGAGTCCTAAAAAGTATCTATGACTCCTAGAAAAATTCTAGGACTCTTAAAAATTTTTTCCTGACTCCTAGAAAGTTTTTAGGACTCCTAGAAAGTTTCTAGGTCTCGTATAAAAGTTTCTATGACTTCTAGAAAGTTTTTAAGGCTCTTAAAATTTTTTTATTACTTCTAGAAAGTTTCTAGGAGTCATATAATAGTTTCTATGAGTCCTAGAAAGTATCTATGACTTCTAGAAAGTTTCTAGGACTCGTACAAAAGTTTCTTTGACTTCTAGAAAGTTTCCAAGGCTCTTAAAATTGTTTCTATGACTGATAGACACTTTCTAGGAGTCATTTTACAGTTTCTAGGACTCTTAGAAAGTTTCTAGGACTCCTAAAAAATTCCATATGACTCCTAGAACGTATTTATGACTCCCAAAAAATTTGTAATGACTCCTAAAAATGTTTCTATGACTTCTAGACAGCTTCTAGGAGTCTTATAAAAGTTTTTAGGACTTCTAAAATTTGCCTATGACTCCTAGAAAGTTTCTTAGAGTCCTAAAATTTTCCTATGATTTCTAGAAAGTTTCTAGTAGTCAGATAAAAGTTTCTATGACTCCTAGAAAGTTTCTAGTAGCTAGATAAAAGTTTCTATGACTCCTAGAATGTTTCTAGGACTTTTAGAACCTTGCTCAATATAAAAAAAACCGTAAAAAATCTGTTTTTCCAACAACTTTACCTCAACAATCCAAATTCCATCAAAATTCATTAAATCCCAGCAAAATTCTCCAAACTAACTATCAACTTGTCTGCACTGTACTCTATTAAAATTACGTAGGTTATTAATAAAATTAAAATCCCTTTGACCGCTAAATTAAACCGACGCTACTACCAGAACTTTGTCACTTTACATTATCAAACTTTCCGAAATTTTTCCTCTTTTTAACAAACTAAGCTCTTTGACTCCTCACCCCTCTGCTCTATTGACTCTTTTAATATCTATTGGATATTTTTTTTAGCGAAGATTAAAATTTAAAAACTACCGACGTACTTGCCTCATCACTTAGCGAAGTTTATCCTAGACGGTCAACCCCAGCACGAGGACAGAGCAAAGGGTAAGGGTAGGGGCAGATCGATAGGAGCTTACTTTTTCAGCCAATTTACAGACGAAGGATTTGAATAAAGTGAGTCAACAACCTGATCGATTTTCGCCACCTCGTAAGTCGATTGTCAACAATCATGTCCTAGAAACTAAATTACTCTCCACTTTGGATCGATTATCTCAAGATCTATAGATCCTAGATCAACGACTGGGGAGTGAAATCGATACGCCAGAGTCCGACTGAGCGAACCAACTAGGTCCAGATCCTAAATTTTGATTGGTTTAGAAGTTATGAAGCTTTAAAGCTCAAAAATCTAAAAATTCGATCAAAATCAATGATTTCGGTGATTTATCACGTATGTCTCGGGATCTATAGATCCTAGATCATCAACTGAGGAGTGAAATCGATACGCCAGAGTCTGACTGAGCGAACCAGCTAGGTCCGGTTACAAAATTTTGATTAGTTCAAAAGTTATGGAGCTTTAAAGTTCAGAAACTACAAAAGCAATGTTACAATGCTAAAATTTTGGATGATTAAATAATAATAATAATAATAATAATAATAATAATAATAATAGTCATTGACATGTAAAATAACAGAAACAAAGCTCAGAGAAGCCGTAAATAATAGATAATAATTACAATGGGATTACGAGGACGTTTGGTGTTTGTTAATTCGAGCGTAAATCTACACCTCCGCTCCTTAAACTCACCCCCCCCCCTCTGCAAGCTCCGTCTCTGTAGAAGCGAGCAATATTGAGCTTCGCTATTGTTCAGCGGTAGCATTAGCATCACTGTAATTTAGTTGTGGTGGGGTGAGAGTAAACGGAAAGGGTGCACATTGTTACTTGGTACCATCTGGTCGCTGATTTCAGTCATATATGTGTAATGATATATCCTTTCAGGCAAACATTATTGTGCGTTAATCTGTTAGCTATTTAATTAATTTATTTGCTAATTAATATTATGATTAAAATTATTTGGGGGGTTTATTAATATTCGGGAGTTTGGGATTTAATTAGTGAATTTTTATTTCGTTAATTGGTTTTTAATTAAATTGATATTCTATTGAAGTGATTATGCGGTGATAATTAAATTTTAATGAGGATTTAATTGTTATAATTGTTTTTGGTGTGTTTTTAATTAGTATTGTTAAAAAAAAAATGATGTCAAAAAAAATTTTTCTAGGAGTTCTAGAATAATTTCTATGACTCCTAAAAATTTCTAGGACTCCTAGAATAATTATTAGGACTCCTAGAATAATTTTTTAAGACTCCTAGAAAATTTTAGAACTCCTAAAATTTTTTTTCTGACTTTTAGAAAGTTTCTAGGAGTCATATAAAAGTTTATACGACTCCTAGAAAGTTTCTATGACTCCTAGAAAGTTTTTAGGACTCCTAGAAAGTATCTATGACTCCTAGAAAGTTTGTAAGACTCTTAAAAATTTTTTTATGACTCCTAGAAATTTTGTAAGACTCCTAAAAATTTTTCTATGACTTCTAGGCAGTTTTTAGGAGTCAAAAAAGTTTCTACAACTCCTAGAAAGTATCTATGACTCCTAGAAAGTTTCATATGACTTCTAGAAAGTTTCTAGGACTCCTAACAATTTTTCTATGACTTTTAAGCAGTTTCTAGGAGTCATATAAAAGATTCTACGACTCCTAGAAAGTATCTATGACTCCTATCAAGTTTCTAGGACTCCTAATAAGTAATTATGACTCCTAGAATGTTTCTAGGACTTTTAAACTCTTCCTATGACTCCTAGAAGGTTTTTAGTACTCTTAAAAATTTTCCTATGACTCCTAGAAAGTTTATAGGACTCCTAAAAATTTTCTAGGAGTCATAGAACAGTTTTTACGACTCCTTACGAGTTTCTAGGACTCGTACAAAAGTATCTGTGACTTCTAAAAAGTTTCTAAGGCTCTTAAAATTTTTTTATGACTTAGGCAGTTTCTAAGAGTCATATTAAAATTTCTATGACTCCTAGAATAGTTCCTATGACTCCTAAAAAAATATAAAACGTTTTACAGTCACAATAAAACCATATTAAAATATCCTTGATTTCTAGAACAATTTTTATGACTCCTAAAAAAATTCCTAAGACTCCTAGAACAATTTCTAGGACTCCTAAAATAGTTCTTAGGGCTCCTGGAAAAAAAATAAAAATCCTACCATCACAAAAAAAAATTCTAGAACTCCTAGAAAAATTTTTGACTCCTAGAAAAGTTCCTAGGACTCCTAGGAAAAAATTTTTTTTTCTTAAATTTTCAAAAATTCTCGATAAGGTCAACTAGAAAAAAAAATTCACCTGATTTTTCCTTAAAAAAAACATCTGATCTTGTGTTGGAGTTTGCGTATGCGCATTTTCACCGACTATTGCTCCTTTGTCTCGTCAGCTTTTCCGAAGTTTAGTCGGCCGAGTGCCGTCAGGGCAAACGTCACGCCACCGTTGTTTTTGTCAGCAGTATCTCATCGCATGCGGTGACTCGGAAAATTTTTTTTCCTAAATTTTCAACTAAACAAAAAGTAACAAAAAAAATAATTTTTTTTCTTTTTGTTAATTTTCCGGAAAAATTTGACAAATTGATAATGTAAAAAAAGAAAGGAAGAGATACGGAAGTTTTGTG